ACATGGAATATGTTGCATGTAACTCACATATAGGAAGCAATAAAAAATAACAAATTAGGAAGGATCATTTTGTTTTAATAAAACACCATGGCCCCAGGGAAAAAATTTTTTTTTCTAGTGTGACAGTCAATGTGTTAATGTACCACATCTGTCACAACTTCTCAAACTTGGGTCACTATACTTTAAAAGATTTTTGCTTATTTATATAAGTAAAAGGTTACCTTTATGGTACAACGACTCTGGAAAACTTTATGGCAGTATTTACTAAAGCAAGAACCTACAGTATCATCTAGCAATTTCCTCCTGTGTGTGTATATATATACACCCAAGGGAATGATTGCTATGTCCACCAAAAGATGTGTGCTAGAATGTTCATAAAAGCTTTATTGATAGTAGCCAAAAACTACAAACAACCCAAATTCTCATCATAAGTAAAATGGATACACTGTGATATATTCAAACGATGGAATACTGTACAGCAATAAGAACAAACCATCTGTACCTACTTTCAAGTGTATGGATGAATCTCACAAATATAATGAGACACAAAACACTACTTACTGCATCTGTGCATTAATTTAATTTCTGTTCAAAAATAGCTAAAACAGGGCCGAGTATGGTGGCTCATGCCTGTAATCCTAGCACTCTGGGAGGCCGAGGCGGAAGGATCGCTTGAGGTCAGGAGTTTGAGACCAGCCTGAGCAAGGGCGAGACCCCATCTCTACTAAAAATAGAAAAAATTGGCCGGGCATGGTAGCACTCTCCTGTAGTCCCAGCTACTTGGGAGGCTGAGGCAGGAGGATTTCTTGAGCCCAGGAATTTGAGGTTGCTGTGAGTTAGGCTGATGCCAGGGCACTCTAGTCCAGGTGACAGAACAAGACTCTGTCTCAGAAAACAAACAAACAAACAAACAAACAATCAAACAAAAAACAGCGAAAACAAATCAATGGTATCAGTGGTTATGAAATAGTGCCTGGAGGGGAACATGAGGGGACAGTTGGGAGAAGGTAATATTCTGCTTCTGTATCTAGAGCTGGTATCCTGGTTCTCTTTTCATTATGACTTGTGAACTTTTCTGCATGTATGTTATACTTCAATAATTTTTTTTTTTTAACTAAAAGCTTTTTACCAAATTCCAAATGCCTGGGAATAAGGAGGTGACCTTTTCTCTTTTATGGACCTTGGGGAAAGAGGCCGATAAAATTGAGGAAATGCTCAGTTCACTGCACAACCATTCTTCTCCTCCTCTTCCTCTGGTCCTGTAAAACCATTGTGCCAATGTAGATCAGAACCTAGATGTTCAGTATTTGCACTTCCTTTTGCACTTCGAATGTTGCATCAGGAATTACTCACTTCCAAGTAGAGGAGCCAAGGCCTCGAAAGGAGCTCTGTTTTCCAAAGGAATGGCATTCTCTCCTGCGCCCTGATTGTCAGTCAGAAGACATGGGTTGAGTTTTATGGCCAATAACTGGTTTCAGGTGGGGAGATCTGGCTGGGAGAGCAATTTAAACTTACCACAATCTGGTCTTTAGCAAAAGCTTGGCAGATGACTCCAAGGCAGGGCCGCATATCCACAGCCCCGCTTGCCAGAGATTAGGCTGGAAAATGGGCCCGCTGGCCTTGGGACCCTGACTGGGTGGGTGTCCCGTAGCATTGTTTTCACATGATCGCAGCCTCAAGGTCAGACCATCGAGCTGATGCTGATGAGGACGTTCACTCTGTGACACAGCCTTTGCTTTACCGGGACCCTCAGGAGGAGAAATGTGACCTACTTGAAGAACAGGAAACTGGCACTTCTCAGCATGCGACTTATTTTTATCTTGAGAACACTGTGAACCAGGTAAGTGTCTCCTTTCAGGGCTGGAGGCTTCTTAAAGCCAAATGCGAGTATTAAACATGTGTATGGGGCTTTATAGTGTGCCTTTTGATATTTTCTAAGTCCTGGCTGCACTTTATACCTCTGTCCTTGTTTCATTCCTTCTTTCTCACCTACTCGCTGTTTATGTTATCTTGATGCATTTCATGTATCTTTCCAGATTGGCTCCCAGTGGTGCGCTAGCACCTTTGCACTTACTAAACATTCAGGAACTTTGCGAGCCCCTTCTCAAACAGTGGATAACTTGAAATCAGCCATAGCGCGAGTATTTATACCATGGATATAGGCAAATACTACAAAATAGATCCTTCCCCGCCACTCCCATCCCAGGAAGCTAGTTTACCAGCTATCCACAGTTTATGTTCTTTCTAGAAAAGGTGGAGTCTAAATATATGTGTTTTTAAAGAGTTTTATGGAATTATCTACTTATTTAGATATTGAATAGTATTTAAAAGCTTTACCAAAACAGAGCAGTGGCACTGTTTTGGGTCCAAAAATGTTTCAAGGGGAATAAATCTGTGAGATTGTTTTTGTTGATGGCAAGGGGAAAATACGATTAATCTAAAATGAGCTTTCTCGTCAACTTGGCTGTCGTCCAACTGTTCCGTAAAGGAGGATATTTACATCTGTGGATACGGTGAAAGCTGTTTACATTTCTGTTTGTCACATTTTAAGTTGTACTCTGCAAGAGCTAAGATTCTGGTAAACCTAGCAGTATTAGACTCAAGTTAGTATCCAGTTCAGTGTGTGATGGCTGCTAAGGGACCATTCAATGCAAATTAGAAGTAATAATAGCTCTGGTTTAAAAGGGCAAAGAATTAGGGCTGGGAAAGGAAATGACTCCCTACAGAGGACACGGGCTTTGCACTGACAAATGTGAATGCTTGGTAATGCAGCTCCTCTCTGTGCTCTGCCGGGGGACAGAGAGCCAAGGAGGGATGGGGACGGCGCAGGGCGAGGAGAGCTGCAGAGGAAAGCTGCAGTGGCCGCCAGCAGGAGCTCAGGCTGCTCTGGTATCAGGGAAATCAGCTTACTGTGGAAAAAGTGCAGATAGGTAGCAGAGAGCAAGTTTGTTATCCAGAGTGGACAGCCCAGCAATCGCAAACCTCGGCAGCAGCACAAAAAGAAAGGAGAGAAAGGTCTCTGACAGTAAAATGACAATCCTGAGTCACAAACACTACTGCAGGCAGCTGGAAAGTGGCTCAAACCTGAAGATCCCCCAAAGGCATTGCAACAGGATGGCGAGGTTCCCTGACCACAGGACGAGCTAGCAATGGCTGCGCACTTACTGCCTGTCAGTTGACTGTGCTAACAAACTCTTTTCTCTGCATTAGCCACTTAATTCTCACAGCAGATGAAGAAACTGAATGGTAGGGAGGTGCCCAGTATGTTTGGCCAAGATGCCCAGTGAATGAGAGAGGGAGCCAGGGTTTGTGCCTCTGCCCCCTACTGCTCAGATCAATAAGAAAGAAGGAGGTGTATTGATGACAATGGTCTGAGGTGCCCGCGATCAGGGCATGGGCAACAGGTAAGTGAAGAATGAGGATGTAAGTAGCTTGAGAACAGTCAAAGACAGGCAGTGGCAGATTGAGGGATGGGGACAGGACAGGAAACCTACAGGCTTCAACCAGAGGGAGACCAAACCCACCTAGAAACCTAGAGAGGCTGTCATCTACTGGCCAAATAGTCCCATAGATTCAGGCCATTGCTAAGCCTCAGTCCTGTTAAGCGCAGCCACTGTTGTGGGATTTGAGGGACTGGGGTGATTAGCCAAAGTTCCGGCCAAGGGTCACTCACTTCTTCCCTTTGGTAGTTCAGAGACATCACCATGTTGAGGGAGAACCTGTGCCCATTCAGAGCAGTCTTCCAGAGGGGACCATGCTCAGCTGCCTGTCACATACATGTCCCTGTACTCCAATGGGTGGATTGTCATCATGTAGTTCAGTCGTCCCCAATCTTTTTGGCACCAGGGACCTATTTCATGGAAGACAATTTTTCCACGGACCAGAGGCAGAGGGGATTATTTCCAGATGATTCAAGCACATTACATTTATTGTGCAGTCAAACCTCTCTGCTAATGATAATCTGTATTTGCAGCTGCTCCCCAGCACTAGCATCACTGCCTCAGCTCCACCTCGGATCATCAGGCATCAGATTCTCATAAGGAGCACGCATGCCTAGATCCCAGGCATGCGCAGTTTACAGTAGGGTTCGTGCTCCTATGAGAATCTAATGCTCCTGCTGATTTGACAGGGAGGCGGAGTTCATGCAGTGATTCAAGTGATGGGGAGCGGCTGTAAATACAGATGAAGCTTTGCTCACCCACCCCTCACCCTGCTGCTGTGCCACCTGGTTCCTAACAGGCCACTGACCAATACTGGTACTGGTTTCTGGCCCAGGGGTTGGGGACCACAGATGTAGGGGACCCCATCAGGGCAGAGGATTGGGAGAGAAATGCAGTGTCCTCAAGACAGGAACAAACCTATACAAACACTGAGCTAGACGTAAGGGAGAAAATGGGAATCTCTGTGTCAATGGAAGAGGATGAGCATCGAAAATTTGGTTGGATGAGCAAGTGTTGGTGCCACCTTGTGATCTCCATCTGTTCATGCCTGAAGACTACTGCTTCTTACCAAAGAACATCAGACACAGCGCTCCTCACTGGCTGATGAAAGTCTTTGTAGATTTCTGGTCAAGTCTTTATGGATTAAATCACCACACAGACATACTGGGTGCTAGACCTTCTTGTATTTTTGGATCTCTTACCTGCCACTGGACAGAGCCCTGACTTCTGCAGGTGGCTTTGGAGTTCCCAGATCCAGCAGCACTGAAGGCAAGCTCTGGCTTCTGAGAAGTGAGCAAGACATCCTGGAGCTGGGGGGTAACAGCATCCTCCCAGAGGACCCATGTCCTCTCTGAACTGGCTGGAGTGCAGTGGCATGATCATAGCTCACTGCAGCCTCGAACTCCTGGGCTCAAGCAATCCTCCTGCCTCAGCCTCCTGAGTAGCTGGGACTATAGGAGTGTACCA